GCTCTCATATACTGAAAAATACGTGCACTGCTTGTCCCTAGCTCAGGTGATTTTCATGGAGGTTAATGAACAGATGGGAAGGACTGAAGGATCTGACCCAGACACTTTCTTCCATGCTTTGCAAAATATATTTGCACTTTCTAAGCACTGGCTAACACACAAGGTGGTGAATAATGAAAATGAATAAGAGTAAATATAAAAGCATGAACTGTCTTTTTGACTACCTACTGACTTTACAAATGGCATCTCATCTATACAGGCATGAAATCAGAACAATGAGCAAGTTCCATGAGATTCCCGCAAGACCCAAATATCAACTGGCATGAGGATGGAGCCATGCAACTATTTTGCAAGCTTGCAGAATCCTTGTCCTAGCATGAAAGGAGTAAAAATACCTTCAGAAAGAGAGGTATCAGATCAGAGAAGAGGGAAGTGTTTTTGCTTTAGGTAATCGTATTTCTTGACTAAGATAACTGATCAGCTATATCACTTTTTGTATCCTATGTAAGACAATTATGCAGGGATAATAATAATAATCCACTCTGCTAATAAGGGTGCATTTACCTTTATGCTGTGTCCCAAAATACTTCTTGAAAGGCAGCCTGTAGCACAGGTATCAAGTCATTATTCCTAAAGGACAGCAGGACTGCAAATGCTACCCCTAGCTCAGATTTCTTTTGACAGGCCAGGTGAAGAGCACAGACATGTAATTTGGACTGGAGGAAACATGATTATCATGTTCAGGAAGATGGAAGCTGAAGCTAGCACAGTGGGTAGTTGCCTTGGGAGAGAGGAATGCAGCTGAGGTACAGGCAAACTCAGAAATCTGGAAATCTCTTTTCATAAGAATTATAAAACAGTAACTATGTAGGCAACCTAAAATGCTAATGAATTTCAAGAGGATCTGATGGCAAAAGCCTCTGTTGCCATCAGATGGAGGACAATGGACACAAGCTGAAGCAAAGGAGAGTCAACCAGCTGAACTTAAGGAAAGGCTCTTTGACTCTCTGGGTTGTCCAGAGAAGCTGTATATTCTCCATCCTTGGAGATACTCAAAACCCAGCTGGACATGGTCCTGGGCAACTGGCTGGAGGTGGCCTTGCTTGAAGAGGGCATGTGGAGTAGACAGTCATGAGAAGTCCCTTCTGACCTCAGCCCTTCTGTGATTCAGTGAAGATTGAAGCAACCGGGTGGGGGATACCAAGTAATGCATTGCAGTGTGCACCTCCGAGACCTTATGTACAATCCAGTGAAGAGATCTTGTTTTCAAGACACTAAGACTTAAGAATTCTTAGGTGTTCTCAGACAAGTAATTATTATTATTATTATTATTATTATTATTATTATCATTATTATTACTACTCTTGCTGCTGTTACTATTTAAAAGTGAAGGAAACTTACCCTTCTGTAACTTTGTTAGATCCTCCTTTTTTTCTATGAAAGATTCTTCAAACTGCAGGAAATAGAAATTTACTGTCATTCCATGCTTTGGCTTCTTCTTAATTTAGGTAAAGAAGACTTAAAGAGATGTGTTTTGGGAAATTTGATTTGTTAGAAACATATGTCATATTTGAAAGCTGTCAGGCCCACTGGCCATCACTGTGACAGAAACCCATGGATCTTGAAACACAAATTCCCCACACCGATTGTGAAACACTCCATCTCTGCTTTAGTATCAGAATCTGCCAAAGGTAAAAAAAAATTACTCTGTGGTTTACAATATACGGTACCTTCAAGGGTAAACTACACTGTAGTAGCAATAATAATCTCTTGCTATTTTGCAAGTTGGAATTTAACTGAAGGTACTCAGAATTGCAGGTATTTGACCTCTGGATCAGAAGATAAGAAGCCAGGATCTGCTGCTGGGGTTTTAAATTTCTTCTTTCTCTAGCTACAGGGGAGAAGCTTTGGTGGTGCTACCAGCGGGCTTTGCACATGATGTGTGGAAGTGAGACAGGAACTTGCCCCCTGCTTAGGGCAGGCTCGTGGTCACTGTTGGCTTGCTCAGCAATGCACTAAATGCAGAGTTTGAAACTGCTGCTCAATCACACTTCTCATACAGAAGAGTAAGAACACACATTGGTCACAGGATCTCAGTATAAAGACCAGAGGCAAACCTCAACCCCAGCTGCTGCCAGTAGCCACCGAATTGGTTCCATCCGGCCTCGTCCATTGAAGTAGTGCAGCTTGGGTTTTCCAGACATGTTTTCTCGTGCTGGATTTCCTAGTATCTGCAATGAAGAAATAACTTTTGCAGTTTTGAATCTGCAACTGGCTCTTGAAATTGACTTGTTTGAAACCAATGATTTATTGTCCAAGATTTGAATCAATTAACAGAGGAGGTAAAAGTTAGACAACATTGAGAGAATGCCTTGTATCATTCTGCCTAAAAAATGCTTCTTACACATGCAGAATAGTTAAGTAAAACTCTGGCTGTACTTTGAGCAATTGGCCCAGTCAGAAAGCAAGTGAATTAAAATCATTTGCGTCCAAAGTGTTCTGTTCTGACCAAAAAGCAGAGGTTGCTCTCTGTGTATTTTGGCATGATTTCCAATTACAGTTTACTGTTTAATCAGATACATGCTATAAACTCAGCAATTGCTGTGCTTTCTCCAGCAGCCATTATGCTCCATTAAAACCAGCCAGGATGGAATTCTTTCATCCTGGCAAATCTCTTTTACAGCACTTCCTGCTTCTGTAATTTCTTTAGAGAAGCCTTCAAAGACATGAAAATTAATTTTGTCACAGCAACATCAGGTTTGCCTTTACCACAGGCATAACCACAGGGCAATGCTTGCCTGGTCCAGTTCCAACTCTGCTGGAATTTCAAGCAACAGCAGTTCCTAGGAAGCAACTTAAAGCAGCCACAGTTTCTCGGCAGGCTGTCAGCCACTCCACTCAGACCCACACGTACACATCAGCAACAAGCACACACAAACAGTGCCCAGCCTATGCCAGCCTCACGGCATTGACGCACTGTCAGCAACAAAGCTGAAGCATTAACAGCAGCAAAGGGAAAATGCCCAAACCCCCACCATTCTCCCCTTGCAAAGAACGTGCCAGCTTCTTGATGGTACGAAGAAGGAGATGAGAGGAGCCACTCCCCAGTTGTGATCTACATTTCATTTTCTTACCTCTGTACACCTCGAAAGCAGCTGATTAAGAATTCAATATTTGGTACATAGAATCTTGTTAATACAGTACATACACATATTTAATCTATAAAAGCCATTCACTGACTAAGTTTCATGTACAACTCCCTGCATGTCCAAAATAAAAAAAAAACATTTACCTTGTGCACAGCGTAACTCACTCTAAGCTCTCAGCAGTTCTGCCTTGAGATTATATAACTCTGTAGCCCCTCCTACACTGAGCATTCCAGACACTTCTCTGCAAAGAGGAAACTTCTCTCTCTTAAACAAACAAAACCAATTAGCTCTGTTTAGTTACTTCTCACCTACAGAAAATAAATCCCTGACTAATGCTGACTATGTACAAATGTAGGATAGAGGAGAGGTCATGATGATTGGGAACATCTGTCCCAGCACAAAATGGTAATATGCCTCCTATTTTCATTACTTGGTACCATACTAGTTAAAAAAAATTGTAACAGCTGAGAAGCTCACTCAGTTTAAAAGAACACTGCTATGCCAATCCCACTTTTATTCTAATATTTTCTGGTTTTCTGCTTTTAAGACCTTACCACTTTATGTAAGTCACATCAGCTAATTTGAATCTGTTACAAGCTTCTGTGCCTTGCTTAGTGTATATTCCTTCAAGGCACTTCTGCTGAATTATCTCTGGACATCTGGATTGGTTTTTTTTTTTTTCTTTTTCTGTCAAAAATGTTTCCCTGAACTTGAGAAATACACACCCAAGACAGCTGTAACAGACAGTGAATGAAGTGTGGCACCAGAAGGCAAACTGCCCTCTGCACTCCTGACTGCTTTCTTTGGACAACTGAATGGATTTCAAAACGTCAATACAGCATACATTCCCATGCACCTTCCTGCCTATTTAATCTACATGGTTAATATAGTTGTAGCTATCACCTGCAGTTACAGTACAGCAGGCTGTCTCCTTAATGTCCTTCCTGTATGCATACTTCATTGCTTGGTAGCTGAAAATGATCCTCATCCTATCATTCCTCACTGCTGTTACCTGTTACGTCAATGTGTTCCACGCTTGACAACAAAATAAGCTTAATAATTTATTTACAACTAGAAGCACAGAAGGACAGGGCATCAGAAGAGTTACCACTGCAATGTATTGTCTTTTAGGAGGTGCCTAGTCCTCAGGTGGAACATATCCCATGGGAACTGTATTCCATATGGCACATAAGGAGAGCCAGGCTTCACACAAGGGGACTCCTGACTGAGAGCACCTCTTGTAGCTCCCCTTTCTTAGGGGAGCTACAAGAGGTGCTCTGTGTCCCTCTGCCTCCTCCTTACGTTTTGGGGGGAAGGTCTTCTGTCCAGCCTCTCACACTGCTGGAAACTGTCTCCCACATTTTTGGATACACGTAACTTATCACACAGAATCTAGGAAAATGTAGGAGACTGAAACTCGCCATGCAGCAACACGTGCACCAAGGTGCATCTGGTGGTTTCACAAACCCAAACTCTCTCTTACGTAGCTTTTCTGGATTTACCATTCATAGGCCAGCACCTGACAAGCTCTAGGAGACATCTTGGGTTTAGTGACGACCTGGTAGGAAAACATGAGTTCAAGCCTGAAAGTTAATGATCGTGTAGACAACTTAGGAAAACTCATCTTACCTAACTTTGTAGACACCTACATCTGGTCTAGCTGTCTAGTCTCCTTCCAATAGATCCAAATTCAGAAGGAATCCCTCAGCATATGGTCTTCAGTTATAGCTGAACTACTCAAAATGATTCTGTCTCAACTGAGGTAGTTAAAAGTTTAGATGAAGCCAGTCCCTTCAGCTTTCCCTTAAGAGGTAGGGGAGAAGAGCACAACTCTGTAGAGAGTGATTTATCCCAACACTGACATTTCTTGTCCTGTCACAGGTATCCATTTAGATTTCAGGCAACTAAGTCAAATGCAGCCTGTCTCCTAACTTGACTTTCGGAAATGTCACTTCACTGAGCTGTTTTGGGAAATGGTATTCTTCTGTTTTCTCCCTCAGGTACATTTTCCCATGCTTTTTCTAATTTCTTTTTTTTCTTCACTCATGCCATAGACTATTAAGCATCAGATCTGGCTACTGACAGTTGTTGGAACACAGTTTCCTTCTAAGCAGCTGCTTCTCTGTTGCATCAGGCCACTTCTCTAGGCTGTTATTGTCTGCTGTAAATGTTTTTATTTGAAATTCAATGGAACCTGAGTATCTGTTGCTCTGTGTTTTGTCCTAAATATGTAGAAATAAACCCCCTCTGCCTTACCAGAGTCTGCAAAACAGACTGCACCTTTCTTTCACAACACCTTGCTCTCAAGAGGTCATGTATTTGTAACCAGCTTGTGAATAGCTGGTATGATCATACACAAGATTTGAAATACCTGATTTATAGAGCAAAATAATCAGTTTTGCAAAAACTTTGCTGAGAGACCTTAAAAATCCAATTCACCCACAAGCTTTAAATGTAAGAATGGAAACTTGAAACAAGTTACACTTCTTTAAAGGGTAAGCAGTGCTGCTAGTCTTCTCTTTCTTTTCTTCAATAGCTCTTACTCTGAGCTTCTTTTCATGTAGAAAATACCTTCTCCAACAAGTTACATTCTGATATTACTAACACTGCATTGTTCTTTTTCCAAATTAATAATTTTCTTACCCTACAAATAGTTCTTTGCCTCCACACTCCTTTGTTTTCATGTCTTGCCAAGCATTTGGTATCAATAAAGACAAAGCTGCTGTCACATTGCCAGCGTAACAGAACGTTTTATTTCTCATATGGATTGCTTTGCTTCGGTAGTACTGGTTTGAACTAAAACAATATTAATTTGCTGAGCTTCCTTCTCCCTTGATTTAGGGTTTGGGGTTTACGGTTTCCCCTGCCCTCCCAGCATTTTGAGTTTCAACAAATGTGGCAAGGCTTTCATTTCTTAAAAATCTTCAACACAGTTTCTACATAATGGGCATCTGGTGGGGGTTTCCTTGGGCTTCCAGGCTGTAGGAACTTCTTAATTGTAGGCATATTGCTCATTTTGGTTTTAAACACCTAAAAAAAATAAAATTAAAAATTAAAAAACAGAAGAAGAAAGAAATTCCAGCCACAAAGATATGATTTACCCAGCACGGTGAGACTGTTATTTCAGGACTGACCTCTAGCTCCTGAATACAGCATACTCAGTAATTAAATTACCTGCAACTGAGGAAACCCTGAGAGCACAGCAGGAACTTTCTCCTCCACTGCTAAAATGGCTTCTATTAGCTGAACATCTGCCCAGCTGAATTTGTTGCCCACGAGAAAGTCTTGGCCATGCTGTTTCAAAACCTGGAGAAGACAAGAAAACATGGTCTACAGATGAGAGTGGGGCATATGGGCATCCTTGGCAGCTAAGCCTCACAGCACAGCTGCAGAGCTGAGCAGCAATTCTATCTGAAATTTCAAGGTGGACTTTTCAGCTAAAGCTGAGCCTAAATAATTTCATTATTGCTAGGGGGAAATGAAGTTTTGTTCATTTCATGTTCTGGTACACAGACTACAAACTTTGGTCACTCGGTAATAATGAACGATGATGGGCACCAGGAACAGAAATAAAACTATGTGCTTAAGTAGACTTGTAACAGTCCTAGAATTAGAAATATTCTAATGGAGGATAATGGAGGAAGCAACAAGCAATTTAAAGAATTCATAGAACTCCCATTTAGATGTTTCATGTGAAGTGATGTCTAATGCTGATATCAGGAACCAAACTTAGAAATGCAGAATTGCAACAGCTAAGTAAAGAAAATCTCTGCCTTTGGGAACCTATTTTAGTGCTAAGAACAAGTGTGATGTTCAGCCTTTATTATTGTTTTCCAAGAAAACTAGATAAATATTACAAAACTAGGAAATATGGCCAGATGCATGAATCATACGGGTTGGGTTTGTTGTTTTATAAATCTCTGACTGTTGTTTTACTAAAGTACTACTAATCTCTCTACCTGATTTGTATGCAAGGGATTTTTGCATTCCTCCAGTGAAACTTTTCCAAATGAAATTAAGTATGGTGGAGAGATGAGCTTTAAACAAATGTAAGTATAGAACTGTTCCTTCAAGAAAAATAATCACATGTGCTTGCTTTCAATTTAGTGAAAAGTTTTTCTGTACAGCTGAGAACATGTTGCTTTGCAGATGTTCAAATACCACAGCCCTGACAACGCAAGCAAACAAAGAGAGGAAAATGTGCTGCTGTATTTCCCCTTCTTTGAGATAACCAAAAAAGGTGAGGATTGGGAACAGATCTACACTACAAACACATTATTATTTCGCATAAATTTTTTGGTTAATCTCAAGTTTGATAGACACATACTTGTTGCCACTTACCTTTTCAAAGACTGGAAAGTACCTGTTGTTTGCCCTCTCCTTAATTGACTCAAGATTTTTCTCCTTTGCATCAGGTGGAGAGAAAGGAAACATCAAAATCATTTGCATCAGATCTGATATTCCCTCCACATACATGTCAATCCTAGTGGTCAGGGGAAGATAGTAGAAAAAAAAGCACAGAAGTTATTTAATCTGTTTTCCAAGTAAGGCAACTTATAGGAATTTTATATCACTAACATAGTGCCAATTTTCACAGCCAAAAGTAAGCACGAACAAAACCTGAATGTTTTTTAAAAATAATAAAAGCCTTTTTCTGTTAGGAGCATTTCAGAAGCAGTGGTTAAATCTTATTTTTAGCCTTTTTCATGCCTTTATACTGGCTTTACAGGACTGAATTTGGTTTATATAATGTAGTTATCAAATAACAGACTGCTCCGTAAGTGATAGGAGGTGTTACGTACAGGGCTCTCTCCTTCAAGTCTTTCCCATGGAGATTGTATTTCCCTGCTATGTAGCTCATGATGGCTCTGGTCTGCACCATCTTCATCCCATCAATCTCGACCAGGGGCACTTGCTGGAAGAGCAGGAATCCATCTAGGGTGGAGAGGTGAAGGAAAGCCTATTAGCTCCTCCTAGACTGCAAGGTGTACAGGAGAGTGAGGCACTGAGCACATTTCTCTAGCAGTGTAGGAGACCACTGGTGTCTTGCTCTAACTATAAAACTCACAGCACTCAACTGACATTGTGGGGAAGA